GGGGGGGGGTAAACCCCCCGCCGGACCCCCCCCCCTCCCCAGCGCGTTGTCTGCTAAGTAAGTCACAATATATGTACTGTATTTTTTAAACAAGGGTCGGTTCAGTACAGTACATACTATTGGTACTTTCAAGNGGGGGGGGGTAAACCCCCCGCCGGACCCCCCCCCCTCCCCAGCGCGTTGTCTGCTAAGTAAGTCACAATATATGTACTGTATTTTTTAAACAAGGGTCGGTTCAGTACAGTACATACTATTGGTACTTTCAAGTATTTTAGTAAGTATTTCGCCCCACCGCCCAGTACTGGGATACTACCACTTTAGTACAGCTCTCCATACTGTACTAATCGTACTATTGCTCTTAGTAGGGCTTCCCATACTGTACTAAAAACAATTATAGTACCGCTCTCCATACTGTACTTTTAGTACGGCTTTTCATACTGTACTGATACAAACCTCAGTACCGATTCTCGATGTTGTAGTACTGTTGCGTTTAGTACGGCTCTCCATACTGTACTAAGCGTACTGTTGGCGTCTGACGCGAAGGCGGGGGAGTTACTACAACGGGAAAGAGTATTTGAGGTTTAGATATACTAACGAACAACGGAAGAGGACTAGTATTGCGGCCGCGCATTTGAATCGCTGTTTATTTCACCATCATCTAATTCAAGCTCTCCGTTGCCACATACCGCAAGGTCTTGCCTTTCCATCTTACGAACTCCGACCTATCTTAACGCAAAAAACTGCGCGTAGTTGAGACCAATCAGCGAAGTGCGTGCCACAAGTGTTTTTTGCTCTACCGCAATGGTAAGATGGCGACTTCTGCACAAGCAAACCTTGGGCGAGGAGGCCGTGGAGCGGAAAATGTCAGAAGCATGCCACCGCCCGACAACCTGCAACCAGAGGGTTTCCTCACTAAAGACTGAAGAAAATAACTTGGCCGCGGTATGCGTAGAAAGCCCTCAGACGAAGGCTTTCCGATCGCTGTCCTTCGCCGTCGGGAGGAAGAAAGAATACGAGGCTCACTCAAGGCAAGCGGTCCTGCTGCGTCCCTCCGTGAGTACTCGCTCCAACAGGCGGACAGCATACCAGACGCCACTCTTCCGTCAAGCGAGAAACTCCATATTTGCTATTTAGTCTCTTGCGCAATTCGGATGGAGGATGGTATCAACTCCTCATTGGCTCGCTTTCTGCATCTCTTCGTCCTCTCCTGCCACTGTCGGACTTCGTCGCCCCTGGCCAGGTTTGGACGTCGACGAAGATGGGTGGCTCTCCGAGGCAAGCTTGATCAGGCCGCGGAGTCTGTTTTGATGCGGTGCCGTTGGGATCACGTCACAGGAAGTGCTCAAGGGATGGACAACCAAGGGTGACTCCAGAGAGAGGCCTTTCGCGGATCAAGCCCTGGCAAACGGGCGCTAGATGGCAGTGTGACAATGCAAACGACACCAGCGTCTTACATGGGTGCAACGCACCGTTCCCCACTTTGTGGCTTCGGGTGAACCGGTATCGCCAGGGTTGGGCGCAACTTTACCTCCAAGTCGTAAAACCTCACAAATGACGCTCTTCTCGGGAAGCTGGCCCCAAACAAACCCATTTCTCATGAAATTTGCGTCTTGCCCCCGATTGCCAGACACATAGACGGGTTGCGTGGGGATAGCTGCTGGAACCCCACGGGTTGAGTGATGTTGGAGTGCCGGACACATAGACGCGTTGAATGAAGATAGACACATATTGAACCTCACAGGTTGTTTGTATTGGAGATTGCGAGACACCTAGACGTGTTGAGTGAGGATAGCTGCATACTGAAACCTCACAGATGCATTGGTTTTTGCCAGACACATAGACGCGCTGAGTGGGGATAGCTGCATATTGAAACCTCACAGATGGATTGGTTTTTGAGTTTGCCAGACACATAGACG